AGGTATGAGGCAAGATATGGTAGAATGGTGCAGGACATGCAGTAGATGTTGTGCTAAAAGGGGACCAAAACATAAGGGCCGCCCACCTTATGAAGAGTTGCCTGTGAATATGTCAGAGTGTGTGGAAGTGTTATCTGAAAGAATGGATGATATTTACCATCAAGTGCGTTCAAACTTGAAAACGTCTGCTGATTCGATGAATCTATCTTATGATAAGAGATCTACTGAAGTCAGCTTTGTACCAGGAGACAAGGTGTGATTGTATAATCCCAGGAAGATCAAAGGAAGTCTCCTAAGATGTCTTCTCCATGGGAAGGCCCATATGACTTTCCGAATAAAATGTGGTCGGCGAGGTAAGCCAAAGGTGGCGCATGCCAACAGGCTTTGGCATTATCACAGTCCAGGACATTTGAATTGGAACTAAAGGAACAACGGAACAAATGACGAGGCTGAAGACGTGTCACCTGAACAAGCCACTGTCGAAGAAGAAACTCCACCCGGTTTTGAGAAGGGAAACAGTGAAGCCCTTGATGAAGTTACTACCACTGATATGACGGTTACCGATAATAGGACATTTCTTGATGGAGATGAACCCCACGTGAAGCAGAAGCCAATGAGACAGAGACCAGTATGGAAGAAGATACGTCCCGTAAAATTAAGAGACTTTGTTGAATTTTCATTTTGTGTTTGTAAATTCTGTACATTTAATTAAGTTACTGTTAATTATTTATTGGTTTAATGTAAGTGGCTATTGTTCGGGAAGGAAGGGGCAGTGTTACGACAGCAGAAATCACTTGATGCTGGTAACACGTCATGAGATTCTCGAAGGATCTTGACTTAGCCTGGCAACTTTAGTCTTTTCTAGGCGCCCTCTATTTTAGTATATAAGCCCGGCAAATAAAGCGGAGAGAAATGGAAGTGATACAGATATAGAGACAGATAATTGAGTCAAGCAAGCGGTAATGACCGTAAGTAAAGTGCGTGAATCGTTGTAAAAATTCTGTGTATTGCAAAGTTGTATTGAGAAAGAATAAACTAGTTTTATTTAAGAAAGGTCTTGTATCACTGAAGTTCCTCGGGAAGAATTTATACCGGAAATTAACAAACGACCAGAGACGTAACAGTAGATTAAACTTCGATTCCTGTCGAATGAATCTATAGCATTGAGACATCAATATAATTAGTGCACAGTTGTTAACTGTTGTTTTGATGTTAGATTATAGTGTTGATTCATGAGTATGGAATTACACTATGCTAATATAATAATAAACTGGCAAACAACAGATCTTAAGAATAATAAACTTGATTATTCTTGGGTGAATATAGTGTTACGACAGCGGAAGTCACGTGACGCTTGTCACACGTCATGAGATTCTAGAAAGATCATGTCCATTCATGAAGCCTCGAGTGTTCTCCAGACGCCCTCTATTTCATATATGTAAGACCGACGAGAAGTGACGGCATAGATATGAATAATTGCAGATTGAAGAGATAAAGACAGATAATCGAGTGAAGTCGTAAGTAAAGTGCGTGAATCGTTCGTTATGAATTATAGCGTGTGTTCAAGTTAAAGTGACTGTGGAAATTAAGTGTATTGCAAAGTTGAATTGAGAAAGAATAAACTAGCTTATTTAAGAAAAGACTTGTATCGCTGAAGTTTCTCGGGAATATTTTTTACGGGAAATTATCAAACGAACAGAGACGTA